ACTAGTAATAACTTGTTTATATATGGTATTATTTGTGTGTTAACTTACATCATTCATCGTCGTATATAGGAGTAACTCTTCCCAATCCAACATGCGGATCCTCTTCCAGGTAATAGCCCTAGGAATATCATTTGATCTTTTTATCGCATATGTATGCATGCTGGGGAAAGCCTCAAATATCTAAATCTACAAACAATATAATACACAAACATTAGTAATTGTTAAATAATTAATTATAATTTTGGAAACGTTATATAGAAATTCTTACCTTAAAGGCCCAAGTAAAGCCTGTCAAAGTGTATTTAGAACCATCGCCCCGTAAACTTTTTCGGTCCTCAAAGGGAGACGACAACTTCTTCCAGGTAGCTTTCCATAGATATGAACCCCACGGAAATAGGTTCCATGCATTTAGGTCCTCTACCAATAATATTAGGTCCTCGGAGATAGGTTGTCTGCCCTCTTTACCTAAAAAACCGACATGCAAAAGTAATAAATGGCATACTCGGACAATATCAAGGTCATCCATCCGAGTAAAACCATCTTTATCAAATAATCTCTTAAAGTCATCGACGTGTAAACTCGGCTTCGACTTTGCCAGCTCAGGAAAAACCCGAGATAACCATGAAGGGTGGGCGATATGACTAGTTTACCGACCTACATCATCGTGTCCGAAGCGTAGACCAGTGATTAAGCAAAACTCCTCCCGCCCAAAACAAGTATGTGCCGGAGGAAAATGAAATCATATATTCTCATCACCACGTTGTATCCCCTCGGGTAGATCGTTAGTCATGGTCTTAAGAAACAAATGTGTCAACATAGCATCTTCACCCGTATGTTACACTTTCAGCCATGGCCCGAAGCAAGTATCCTCAAATAATTTTCTTTGTAGAGATGTAACCGTCGACGCAATTTTAGTGGCTAGGCTTAATTTATTCCTTAAGGTCAATGCAGCCGAAAAAAATTTCTACAAAAACAATAAACATACAGTTAGATATACCAAAAACTCCTTATTATACACTATAAACAGACATGATATTAAACAGTGAAAACAAAGCCAAATATGTTTCAAACTAGCACGGTATTCAACCAAGTCATTATTCCATCATAGTTCACAAAATGCATCAGATAACATTCCATAAGTAAGCACTTATATAAACATTTAAAAGGACAACATATAGGTTTAGTGCAGGTTCAAGGACAACATAAAGAGTAGTAGTTTATTCTTGAAACTTAAATTAACAACACTGTGAAGTTAGTATTTGTCTTTGTTTTTTGGTTGAAGTAATGCAATTTATTCAAGTTTCAATTTGCAGAATAAAAGAAGTTTCTGAAACTTAAATTCGCAAAGCGAAAATGAAAATCGTAATGCGAAACTAAAATCGCGTTGTGAATTTGGTGTTGCGATTTAGGGTTTCTTCAACAAAAAGATAAAACAAAGACAAATACTAACTTCACAGGGTTAAAGACTAAACAGTTTAGTAGTATTGGCAGCAACCGAATGAATTTACTAAGCAATCTCAGTGAAATGGTTAATCTATATATATTGAAATTACCAGTAAAATTATCATCAATATATAAAAAATCTAATAATAATACAAAAATTTCAAAATAAAAATAAGAGATTAAAAAAACTAACCCTCTGTGGTTGATTTTTCATTTCTGACCGTGAATGGTTGTGAGGGTTGCTCTGAGAGATGGAGATAGACGAATTTCGTCGGAGATGGGGACAGATGACGTCGTAGAGAGTGAGAGATGGAGATGGATTGAGTTGTGATTTAGGGTTTTAGGTTAGAGATAATTTACGATAATATTGTTTACATTTGTGTTAAGAAATTAATATTATGTTTCGCATAAAAACATTTGACTTTCGCATTGCGAATTTGACTATCGCATTGCGAATTTGACTATCACGTTGCGAATTTGACTATCGCGTTGCGAATTTGACTTTGTGTTGCGATTTACAAATTCGCGTTGCGAATTTGACTTTTGTGTTGCAAATTTGACTATCGCGTTGCGAATTTGACTGTCGCGTTACGAATTTGACTATCGCGTTGCGAATTTGACTTCTGTGTTGCGATTTACAGATTCGCGTTGCGAAATTGGAAACTGGGTTGCGAAATTGGAGTTCGCGTTGCGAATTTGTTGGTCATTTTGGCAAATCCAAAAAAAGTTGGTTAAATTCGTATATTATAAGGCATTTTTGGTCACTGAGGTTATTTTCTCTTAAATATAAGAACAACACTGTTGATTTTAGTTTACTTCATGAATAAAAGAACCCTTTTTTTCTAATTTTTTAACTCATACGTAAGTGTGATAAAATCTAATATATTTTATTTCAATATTATGTGTGAATTTTTATCAATGAGACTAGAAGAGAATTTCTATTTAGAATAGGGAAGTTTTGCTATGCGACAATCTAATTTAAGATTAAGAAATGGTAGAGAATTGGAGCAACCATAAATGCTATAAACATGTATAATATTTTCCGTTGAGCACGATCTAAAATATTAATTTTTTAATATTTTTGATTTAACTAAAAATGTTATGAGGAAGGTGTGCAACCAGAAAATATTAAAAAACTAACATTGTAAGTTACGTTCAACCGAAAAATATTATGTTTTTTTATAATATTTTCGAATATGTCCCTTCCTTGCGTAGCCTTAGACATTCTCATCTAAAAGGAACGGCCTGAAATTAACCCTGGCCAGAAAAATTTAAGAAGATAATTTTCTTTGAGATCATTTATATCTTTTAAGTGGGAGAACTAAAGAGCAACTAAAAGTAGACTTGTAACAGCTGCACCAGGCCATTAGCCTAACTATGGATACATAAAAAAGCAATACAGCCATCAAACTTTAATCCCAATGCCATGGAATACTACCAAAAAAAAAATTCAGATTTTGAGGTGTTGGTGCTCACAAAACCCTAGAGAATAGAAGATGGAATTGTGCAAATTTCATTGATTATTGTATGAATTTCTATAAAAGTGCTCCCAAGATTTAGGCCATTGAATGCAGATCTTATGTTTAACTGCTAATACTTTGTAAAACAGGAATCAAAGTTAAAAAAAAAAAAAAAGTCGGTAGGAGCTAGCAAAGGGCAAAGATAGATAGAGACACATGCAGCGAGTGATATAGGACAACCTACAAATCCATTTCCCAATGAAGAAAATTGTTTTACAGAAAAAAGGTTGAAGGGACAGAGGCTGACAAAGCCATCAAGTTTTGCTTCTGCTGCTTCTCACCTCCTTCAACTTAATTCCAATGGGAGTAATTAAGGATGTAGATGATGCGAAACACATAGAAAATTATTCGATTTGATTTGATCAAAATATAGTTATTATTTGATCAAAATAGGTTCAATTCAAAAAAATAGTATATTAAATTTTAATTTTTTAAATTAATTTAAAAATAATAATATTTATATATATATATTTTAAAAAAAAGTACAATATAAGGTTTTTATATATTTAAGATTCATATTCAAGTTCGAGTTTGACTTTAAATCAAACTTGAGTTCAAGCTTCAACCGAGTTAAATTTGAGAATGTTTTGAATTTAAATTTTTTTAGCTCGAATCGAGTTTCAATTTTTTATTTCAAGTTTAAGTAGAACTTGACAATTTTAAGCCGGTAAGCTTTTGAGTCGAGTTAAACTCAACTTTAAAACTCTTCAAATCGAATCAAGCTCAATAATATTCAAACTTACTCATCTCTTCTAGGAGCAACTTGTTAACCTTGTTTTCTCATTATTGAATTTCAATCAATATACGCTCACTTCTATATCATCTGGCTAAAAGGGTCATTTTCTGTATACAAATTGCATATATCATGTGTGGAACAAACATAAGGCATCCGGGAAAACCCTATCTTGAAAGCAATACAATAAGCTATATTATCCACACAAGTGGGACCAAAAAAACCCTTATTAATTATTTTTAAAAAAACTTAATAAATTAAGTATGATGTATATATTGATTTATTTATAACTACGACAACACCTACTTTAATAAAATAAATTAGATTCAACGCTTTTAGCTAATTTACAAAGCAAAACCATGTGACTCTATCCATAAATCACAAGTGTTGTGTGGTCCTTCCCTTCCGTTAGGGCTTTGTCTCTATGCCATTGTTTGTCAACCATTGAAAATATAAGAAACCACCCAAAGCTAAAGACAGAAGGATTCCTCCAACCACACTAAGCACATGACAACGGCTTTGTGTTTCTGATATAAACACAAGAGATTAAAATATTTTATCTTTCGGTTTTAGTGACATCTTTATAGAAATTTAACTGCTCTTTTGCTTAGGGTAAGCGACATTTTACTTGTCGACAAACCAAGTATTCATGCTTGTTTTGAACCATCAATGTCCACGTTTCTAGCCTTCTGCCCTTTGCTTCTATCCCAAAATAATGTTAGAATGGGATAAAATGCTAGATTTTTTAAATAAAGATAGCTCCATATTAGAACTTTGTAATATCTGTTCAAATTAATTGATTAAAGATCAAATATAGATGATTATACCGAAAAGAAATGCTCAACTACTCTTCTTGGACCAATCATAGCTTAACATGTATTAACCTCATCACTTGCAACCCCTTTATATATAGGATTCCACGTCAGTTAATGTCATGATTTAGACCGTGGTGTGTTCTGTCATCATAGTAACTTTTCCAATTCAGTCTTAACTGGGTTGACCCTTTCAGTTTATTGAGATTCATTGAGCAGTGTACAGAAAGATTAACCTATTCTATTATGACTTTTAACTCTGGTATTCTGACTTTTTAAAGTGTCCCAGTGGTCCCTATTCATCTAATTAATTTGCTTGGGTGCTACTCATATTATGAAAGGGGCAACAAGTCAGTGTCAATAGCTGTAAGGAAGGACCAAAGACCTCCATGAGAGATAGAGAGAGATAGAGAGAGACAGAGGCAGGGAGAGAGAGAGAGAGAGAGAGAGAGAGAGAGAGAGAAGAATTAGATTATATATATAGATGATTGATTTGGTACCTTAAAACATGCATGTCTTTTGCCTTTCCTTTCCTTAATCTTTAGGTCTATGGAAGGGGAAAAACATATTTTTCTTCTTCTATCTTTCCTAGTTTCCCTTCCTGGAAAAGGCAAAAGAAAATTCTTCATTTGTTGCTTTTCTGGCATGTTGGTTTGAGAGGTTGAAGCTGCCAGCATGATCTGGTAATGAATCTAGAGATCACTCGTTTTCTTCTTTTTTTACTTGTGTATATAGGTAATTAAACTGTATCTGTATTGGTGTATAAACCAAGCGAGCTCGTAGTTAGATGTATAGTTATTATCTTTAGAAATCTTGAGTTTAAACATGTCAGAGTGTTTGAGAATTCATTATCAAATAATTAAGAATTTTTCGAATAAATATTATCGTATAATCATCCGGGACTAACAAAAAATTATATTTGTATTGGATAAAGATACCCACAGTTAAGTAGATCAAAGTTATTGAGCTCAAGAGGAGTTATTTATGTGCTGAAAGCCTTTCCAGTATAAGGGTATTGTCCATTTGTCAAGGGGTTTTTAGTTATCCATGGAATTAATTTAGTTAGCTTCATAGATATGGTTCGGCATTAGGTCATCCTGCAGCTTCAATCACTCACTCACCAACAAGATTAACTTTCCAGCTAGCTATGGATATTTCAGATTTTTCTCTCTCTCGAATTAGACCTTCACTCCAGGTAACACATTATATTCTCTCTCTCTCTCTCTCTCTCTCTCTCTCTATATATATATATATATATATATATATATATATATTCCTTTCCCTGAATGATTTGGTGAGAAATTGCAGTCTGTAATTTTCTTAACCTAGTCCCTATTTCTTTATTGCTTTCACACATACAATTAATACTTCTGCAATTATGTATATATTACTTGCACATGAATCCACATGCACAAATCTTCCAGACAGAGTGGGACTGGGAAATCAATATGATAGATCAGAATTAACAAGTAAAACAAAATCCCATTCGGCAAGACAAGACAAGATTGTTAATCGAGCAATGCATTAACATTGTGACAGTGATGTTAGGGGACCAGCTTGAGGTTTCATGACCCACCAATTTTAACTCAATTCATTATAATATAGTACCAGGATTAATTATCTACTATATATGTAAATGTCAATGTATATGTATATGTATAGGTATGTATAATGTATTGAACCTGTGGATATATAAATCCTATATCAGAAACAATGGCATATGAACTTGGTGAGATGCTATACGTTCCATGGTATTTCAGATAAATTAGATAGCATGTGAAAGAATTGAGTGAATGTAGGACATCATTTGATGTGGATCTCCATGAATGAATTGGTTTTAGGAACATGATTTAGCTGAGTAAATACCTTACAATACGTATAAGATGCATGATTTGATTTCTTGAAATACACTATAACTTAGGGTTTTATCTAGACGTAGTAAACTTGACCCGAATCCGATTAACCAAACCGATTTACCTGACTCAATACCCGATATTAATCCAAACATGATAATCAAATTTGATCCAATACCCGACCCATACCCGATCCAAAAATTAGTGGAACCAAAATCAACCAAAACCGAAGTTAACCCAAACCGAAACCAAAATTAATCGAAACCAAAAGCAACCCGAACTGAAATTAACCCGAACCGAAAGTAACCCAAACCGAAATTAACCTGAACTGAAAGCAACCTGAACCGAATTTAACATGACCCGAAAACAACCCGAACATATTAAAATTGATAAAAGTTATTAAACGATAAAAGTTATTTTCAATAATAAATTAATTTAAATAAAATTAACAATTAATTAAAAATATTATATTTATAATAAAAATAATATAAAGTTTAAGAGGAATATAAAAGTAAGAATTTATTTGTAAGATTGAAAGCAATAATAAATAAAGTTTATTTATCTTACTTGTTATAAAAATATTAGATTTATAATAAAAATAATAGAAAACAACTAAAACAAAGGAAGTAATATTATATTTATAATAAAAATAATATAAAATTTACTTATATTACAACTAAAACTTAACAAATAAAGTTATGTATTATTTTTTTAAATTTAATAAAAATATATTAATTTTATAATTGGAAGTAAATTTTTTAATAAAAAAATTATTTATTTTTCAAATAGTTTTCATTATAAACTTTTCATACGATATCAATATAAATTTTTTATAACAAATTCTATCACGTATTATAGGATCGTATTTCCTTTTTTTTATTTATAATTTAATTTTGTATCCTTAAAGTTTTATAATTTTACACCCCTAAATTTCAAATATAGTTTCCTAAGTTCACACCCATAATATAAAATCTTTTGTCCGACCCTATATGATAGTTTAAGAAGTTATACAAATATGCCAAAAAAATAAACACTTAAATTTTAATTATGCAATTATATTTAAGATTTGAGATTAAGGATGCATGGTAAACTAAGTTATTGAGAACATTGAGATTTAATTGTTTATTTGTATTCAAATAAAGGATGAAAAGGGGTAAGTGGGGTGATCGTCTCTTGAAAATTTTAATATTTCATATATTTTAAATATTCTCTTTGTACTTTTTTATTGATAATATGTTTTTCTTATAAAATTTTATAACTTCGTTATTCCTAGAATTTTGTAAGTTTATTTACTAATATAAAATCTTATGTCTGTTTCTGATTTAAATGATGATGCTCACATGTTGAGACTCGGTCATGGCCAAAAGTGAACAACTAATTAATTAGTTTTCTGAAGCCATCTAAGAAGCTTATATATATATATATATATGTGGTTTCTTTTCTTCTTTCCCCCCAAATATTGTATTCTCTTTTCTCTCTAAACTTGATTTGAATTTTATGAAGAGATAAATCTATTAAATAATTTTGATGCTTAACAGGAGTATAATTCTCCTAAAAAATCTTGGCTTCAATTAGGTGCATATGTGAATATTTATAGTTATCAATAATTAAGAAAAAAATATGATGAGATAGGTGGTCTAGCAATTAAAATATAGATGCTAGCAATTAAAATATAGATGCAAGCAATTTAAATATGATTATTTTTATAAAAACCCATAATTTTATTAAAAATATAAAATATTCAAATTACAATAAAAATTTACTACCACAATTATAAACTAAACACATATTACAAATATTTTCCTAAATACGAGAAAACTAGTTATTTGAGATCACAAGGACCATACAAGCAAAAGGATAAAAATCTAACCAAATAAACTCGATAAAAGATAGATATGAATAGATATGACTACATTAACAAATGAACCACAAAAAGGATAAAGTTGTAAGGGGTTATGCTTTTGTTTGGTTTAGTTTAGGGTTGTAATTGAATAAGTTTGTTGCTCTTTCGTTTTTTGTTGTTGTTTGGTTTCTTGTCCAATCGTGTTGTACTCTTTTCTTTTAACAAGGACTAGGTAGGTTTTTAACGAGGCTCACAATTCGGCTTAACCAATCTTATTACTAATGAATAAAATCAAATTTTGTCGAGAAAAAAATTGAACAATGTTAAAAATACTATTCACGAACGTAAATCGCGTATCCAAAATCCAATCCAAGGGTCTAAAGTAAGGAAAATCAGCATGATAACAAATAAAAAAACCATCTTGATCAGTCTTGGTGTTATCAAATCCAACCCTAAAAAGTGATAAATAAAAATAACGGTCAAACGACAAAAAACGTTCCATAAAGGTAGAGAAAAACTTGTCACAAATGCATAAGAAGTGGTGCCATAAAGGCATAATTATTAAAAAAAGAACAAAATAAAAATACGTTATAATAAAAAGAAGGAAAAACAATGAATAACGATAGTCGATGATCAGCATCAAAATTGATGTCGTCGCTGATTACAAAGATGAAGAAAAAAAGACTGATGACAGCTAAGGAAAAAGAGAAGTTTTTCCAATATGACTTTTAAAGTTTCACTTCTTCAATAGTTTTAATCTCTCGCCTTCACAAAATAAAAATACGTTATAATAAAAAGAAGGAAAAACAATGAATAACGATAGTCGATGATCAGCATCAAAATTGATGTCGCCGCTGATTACAAAGATGAAGAAAAAAAGACCGATGACAGCTAAGGAAAAAGAGAAGTTTTTCCAATATGACTTTTAAAGTTTCACTTCTTCAATAGTTTTAATCTCTCGCCTTCACAAAATAAAAATATGTTATAATAAAAAGAAGGAAAAACAATGAATAACGATAGTCGATGATCAGCATCAAAATTGATGTCGCCGCTGATTACAAAGATGAAGAAAAAAAGACCGATGACAGCTAAGGAAAAAGAGAAGTTTTTCCAATATGACTTTTAAAGTTTCACTTCTTCAATAGTTTTAATCTCTCGCCTTCACAAAATAAATGTACTCTTTCCAACTAAATAAGATGTGAAGAGTGATATTAGAAATAAACTATAACTTAAAGATCAAATCAGGAAAAATATAAAATATATTTACATAAAAAGTAGATTTCAATGGGTTCATATTACTTTTTACAAAATATAAAACAATAAACAAATTCTGCTTAGTTAAATTTTTTTGCAACATTCGTTTAAGCAAGAAGTTTTGACCTATGAGTATGAATTTTAATAGTAATTTGTTACCGGAATAACGACCACAATATAGTGGTAACAACATCATCCAAAATCACCGTGATACATGTGATAATCACATAACTTTAATTATGTCTGCAATCGCCATAAACATAACTCTACTGAAAATACAATCGCAATCATAATTTAAAATTACTTACCTATGAGATCACCTTCACCACTAGGTCTAGGATCACCCTAGGAAGAGTTGACCCTTCCTTTGAGCAAGGAACTTGGACCTTGGAGATCATCATAATCACCCAGATCACCAAGGTCAAGTTGAAGCCTTCTTTTTTTAGCATGAAATTTCGACTTGGGAAATCATCTTAATCATTTGGGGTCAAGTTTGAGCCCTTTATTAATAGAGCCTTGAGCTTTGAAGGCGTGACCCTGGAGATGGCCTGAATGACCCTGAACACCTTAGAATACGATCAAAAGTTTCCTCAAATTAAAGCATCGATCGACTTATTAACACAATGACTAAAAGCAACATAATGGGGAACTCTAAAAGATCAATTATTGAGAATTGGTGTAACACCCCTTTTTCCCCAAATACAAGTTAGAGATATCTCATCAATTACTTGAAACGTTTATTATTCGAAAACCGGTAAAATTTTATTTCTTTAAAATCATATCGGAAATTTTATTTCTTTAAAATCACATCGGAAATTTCGTAATCCAATTCACAAACATGACCAAGTTAACATATTAATAATTTACAGATATTTCTTATTCGTATACATGCCTGCTGGAAAATCAAAATACAGTAGGATGTCATTACTATTATCGGTAAGTATTCTTCAATGATTGATTGCCAACCTAAGCTCCTTACTCTACTTACTCTTTTTTTACCTACGAGTGAAAACCATCATACACTAATTATACATTTAAAAATTATTCCGTTTGTACCAAGGGAAACTAGAATTGAATAAGAATCTAACCATATAAGGCTCTTTTTCTAATTCAACTTGTACAATTTATGACAAATTTTTTAATCTAGCTTACAAGATATGTTTTGAGAAGAATTTGCTATCTTATTTTCTGACATTTCATCGGTTAAAAATTCATATGTTTTTCTATACAATTCCAAATCAGTAGCCGATTGTTAAACAAAACTATACTAGTATAAGAATCCAACGCTATAAAAATCATCTTCTAATCACTCTTGTAGAATTTAAGTTGATTTTATAAATTTACTGTGCAGATCACCAATTTAGGTAAATTTCACTAATTTGCATCCTTAGTTTATTCACTAATTAACTTATCAAATGAACACATATGCATGAATTCAAGTTCCTATAATAATTTCCATACAATCTCAATAAATTCCATACAAAAAAAAATCAAAATTCAATCTTTTCCATAAACCCTAACCTTAACCAAATTCTTCTTTAAACATTTCTATTTGATTTTAATCATCACATATGCTTGAAAATGAATCAACTACATCACTAACATCAAAATTCATCCTTATATCATCAAATTTCCACTACCCCTTCAACCACCATTTTCATGAAATCACCATTTCAAGCAAGAAAACATGAAATATTTACACCAACTTGTGGATAATTTGATGCAAGTTAATTTCCTTTTGCATGTTTTAATCTAAAACCTAACAA